CAATAGATGTCCTCCTAAGACGGGCAAAAACTTCTTCAAGTGAGGGAAGAGCAGACCCCCCCAGTATTTGTGCTCGGACAGGCTCATATTCAGCCTTCAAACCCACCAGAAACCTTGTCACATCAAGTTGCTCACGCTGTTGTTCCTCAGACTTGCATGGTATTCCTCCAAGCTTTGACTGCCTTGTTTCAGATTAAAGTACTCTTGGTACAACTAATACACCCTAGTTGTATTGTCTTGCCCGGAATACAGTTTCTTAGCATGATCCCAGATTTCTCTAGCTGTATCTAGGAACATAAAGTTCACGCTAATTTTTGGTTCCATGCTATTCCACAACCATGCCATTATTTTTGCATCTTCCTGTTCCCAGTCACTAAACCCTAGAGAATCAGAGGAGGGTTTCTCCTCTCTCACATGTTTTACTTTTTTCTTGGGTTTTAAAAACACCTCCACAGATTTTGCCCACGACACATAATTCTCACCATTCGACTAAATAGATGTCATTTGAACATTTAGGTAATCTAGAGAAATCATAACGCTTGTTTTATTGTCATTCCCATGTCCAATCAATGCCATCTTAACTAATTCACCTTACCTCACAAAGAAATCACTGCTATATGTAGAGTATTCAGCACAACCTCACACACTTCCACAAAACTTATCTCACTTTCAGCACCACCAACTTMTTYAAATACACAWTACACATCAAATACAAAAGCTGAAATCACTCAGTCATTAAATCAAACACCTGTACTGCACACTGCAAAACCACTCACACACCAAATACAAGGGCTGAAATCACTCAGCCATTAAACCAAACACTTACACTGCACTCTGCAGAACCAACTTGTACTCAGCTGAACACTGTTCACCCAAACCTGCTCTCTTCATACCATCGAATAGAGAGCTTCCTACCAATCACTACAAACAGCCACTGCACCACAAACCGGAGGCATGAAGGCCTCCTACAGAGAAAAACAACCACTCCTTTTCAACCTTTCCCTTAATTTCCCAATGGTTCTTGAGAAATCTGCAAAACCCTAGAGAGGAGGGCGATAAAAAAACTGGGTAAACCAGAATAAAAGAGCAAGACGAGCAGATCTTAACTTGTTACATGCACTCTGAAACCATGTGAAAACCTTATTTAGTCCTAGGTTACAGTAGAGAAGGAGACGAAGAAGAAGAAGAAGGGTTCGGCCAGTAGAGGAAAATCAGTCATCTCTCTAGTCGACCCACTTGTATTTATCTCCAATAACATAGTTGCAAGAAAGACCATATTGTCCCTCATAAGTGATGAGACACATAACTTAAACTTAAATAAAACAGACCTTTCACTCTCAAATAGATAAACCCAAATGACCAAAATACCCCTGTTTTGTGTACTCTAACAAAATGCATAGTAAGTTTCTCAAGTCACCTAGAGGAGACTGCTTGCATCCAAATGGAGAGAAGAATTCCAAAATAGTAGACACAGCTACAGGAGATTATTAGGTAAAAAATAGTAGACACAGGGTGTAGGTGGAATCCCCCTTTGAATGTGGCAAAGTATATTTTCTTCTTCTTTCTTCAGGTGGCATTTGAAGAGGGGTAGGACCATGTGGACGTGCCTAAGAGCTGCTGTATGCTGGACATTGTGAAAAGAAAGGAATTCAAGAATATTCTGTGAGAAAGAAAGAAACTCCGAAAGTTTGATAGGTTTAATTCACATCAGGGTGGTACAGTGGTTGAAGTCCTCGGATTTATTCACAGACCTTACAGTGGACGATTTTCTGAGAAAGTGGAAAGAGATTACTAGCTCTGCCCAGGTGAAAACGGGTTTTTGTGTCTTGGACCCCTCCCCCATTGGCTTTATAAAGTTGAGCTTTGAAGGCAGCAGTAGAGAGAACCCTGGGCATTCAGGCATTGGGGGTGTGTTTAGGGATGAGAATGGGATTGTTTCAGCCATGTTCTCAGGCCCAATTGGGGCAAGTGACTCTCTCAGGGCTTAGATTTTTGCGGCTTTGGAAGGTGTTCAAAGGTCCAAGGAAATGAATATTAGGAGGCTTGTAATTGAAGGGGACTGGAGGTGGGTAGTAGGGTGGCTGAGAGAAGACAAGGCTGGGTTATGGAACTACACCAATGAAAGGAAAAAAATCAGGGGTTGGCTAAGGACATAGAAATAAAGTACAGTTGGGTGAAAAGATCTGCTAACTCGTTTGCAGATGGGTTAGCCAAGCAAGGGGTGACTAGGGAATCTTTATTCTGGTCTCAGTTGTAATTCTGGGTTTTTTTTCCTCACTTTGGGGGCTCTTACCTCTGCTGGGGGAATTAAGAAAGTTTATCTCCCCTCCTTCGTATTTAATTAATGAAATTTTTGTTATTGATAAAAAAAGATTATTAGGTAAAAAAATGTTTTCACCATTTGCTTTGCATAAAAGGGGCACAGGGGTGATAGATACCAGAAGGATCTTCTCTGTTGAAAATTCTCAAAAGTATTAATTTTATTAGGAACAATTTTCCTATTCTCATCTTTTCAAATTCCATAGAAAATTGCAAAAATGGATAAAGATCAATTTTGGTCATGCCCTTGGGTCCATGTTTTTTCATCTTTCCAATTCAATTCCTAGACATATTTGGGATTCAGGCTCCTGTATCTTTATCCATGCATACTGGTTTACAGAAACATCACTGGTACGATTATGCAACACCAACTTTTTATCCTTCCTTTTCCATAGTGGGTTTTGATTTGCTACGGTCCTCACTCATTTTGTACTTTTTGTAATTTTTTGAGGAAAATCTTTCCCTCAGTAATGAAATTTTTTACTCACTTATCAAAGAAAGAGAAAAAAAAAAAAAACAAAAGATCACTATGTCATACTTTGAACCAATTGGTACTTGTTATTTACCAAGAGATTTAAGGACTCATATTCACTATTCTTTTCCATTTTGTAAAGTAACAAAAAAATTTGGTAACAGAAAAAAGTTATAGAATGAGAAGAAATTGTTCAGATAACATAATATATACAAAATAATACAGTAGAGAACACAAGAGAAATCACCATATTAAAGTCCCTCGCAAAAATAGCTTTACCCGTCTCACTCAGAATTGGGTAAATGAAAGCCCATCTAGAATAAAAGGATGCTATGTCAGCACATAATTCATTTGTCTATTCTGAAAATTCATCCATCTGAAACCCCTTTAATGTCAGAATCTCCTTCATTCTCCCTGCCATCTTTAATTTCCTTGATCTTCTCATCTTATATTTATTATTTTTGTTGAGACTCAGGAATTCCTGCTCTAGTCCTAACACTTTTTCTCAGCTGTGTAGATAGCTATCCACATGAAAAGTCTTGATTCCAGGGGGTAGACTTCTTGAAAAGTCGAAACAAACCAAGAAATGAACTATGTATCTTTACCATCCTGACCGATTGTTTTCCCAAGTCTAAAAATCCTGGATTAAAAACTCACAGGAGTGCAACCCCATATCCAGAATTCCATACTTTATATGAATAACCCTTCTCCAAAATAAAGATGAGTTTCCCCATCCCTTCCTAAACTTTCAAAGTCATCATCCAAACTGTTTTGTTAATTGTACCCACTTTCATATGCAGAGGGCCCAAATTTCTAAGCATACAGATCAATGGTTTATTAGCATATTGAAGTTGCAAGATGACATGGCTGTGCTAATATCGTGTGTATTTTACCGAGAACCTTGTTAATGCTCCTGTAAAAAGTATTTTATATATTAGAGTCCCTTGGGATGCCACTCCATCTCAGCAAGGGCCTGGCAATGCTAACCAGTTTTTCCATTCAATTATGGCGTTAATTTCAGAAAATCAATCAAAATGCTTAGTTTTTAATAGTCACCAATTCATACAGACTGAATGCCAGATATTAAACAATTTTATTAAAAAGAAGCAAAATGGAAGAGAAAATATTGACCTATTTGGGAGTGGCGCAGTAAATGCTAAAATTGAAGGAAGGTGGCTTAAAACTCCTGCCATAAACTCCTCTCCAACCACAGACATTCCGTGTAGTGATGATTGTTTGGATCCCATAAAAACATTTTTTCCATTTTCCCAAAGACTTATGTGCACATGAGATCCGGAGCCAATATCATCTAATGAGTACCTGAGGAAATCAGAAGGTATTATGTAGTGCATTGAAAACCAATGTTTTCAGATGTAACAGTGTAACAAGAATGTTTCAAAAATTAAGATTATACCTCAAGAGATTGAACATAAGCCTTGAAAGCATCAAAATATAAGATTACTTTGAGTTTAGTTCATAATACTTATTGCAATATTCTCATGATCCAATAAAAAAGATTAAGAAATTAAGTACTATTGAATCTGTCAGTTTTTCTTTATTTTAGTGCTGCAGGAGCACTATGTAATTTTCTCCTTTTTATTATTAGAGTGGGTCGCCCTAATGTAAATACCAAAAGGCTGGTGCCGCCAGAGACAGATTTTGACTTCAAATCTTTTTGTCTCTGCTCTCTTCTCTCCTCTCACTGTTCTGAATCTTTACTGTGTTTTTACCAAAAAACATGGTATCAGAGTGATAGATCTGTGATTAGGAGCAGTGCGATCAGTTTTATTTTCCCCTCCAGAACAAGATTACTTTAAGCCAATAACGAATCTAGATAGCTATAATCATACCAAATGCCATATGTATATTGTATAACCTAATGGACTCAATTTCTTACTTGGGCACAAAAGTTGCCAGTAACCCATGTTTTCTTGCAACGGCCCTAATAGCTTCACGTGCAAAAATTAGGTTGTCAGCAGCATCAGTACAAACTCTATGCCCCAAAGCTATTTCAAACTGACCCTTTCCAGATTCTGCATGAAGCTGTAATACAAAAGAAGCCATTTTAAAATTGTAAACTGGAATAAGAAGGGAGAATAACCATAAATAAATCACATCTGATTTCAGAATGATACAAAATGGAGATGAAAGAAAAACAAAATCCAGCAAGGGTAAAAAAGAATGTTCTATTGACAGTTAGGCTTCATTTATTGTAATAAAAGAATGTTCTATATTCAAGAGCAAGTACCAAGAATTCCCAAATATAGGCTAGCTCCAGCTAACTGACCCTTCCTAATTTCAACTCAAGATCTTACAATTGTGCCCAGAAAAGTTGAATCCTGTTCATCCCTTATTTTGACATTGTATCAGCCAATCCATTTAGATCATTGCATCAATGAATAATTAGTTACCAATTTCCTATACAGGTGCCTCATTTTCCTTGAGGTGTTTCAATATTGCCGCAATCCCTGACTTCCACTCCTTAGCCAATCCACCACCACCTTAGAATCCCCTTCCTCAAGCCACAGGTTCTGCCCAATATCACCCCTTGTAAAACTGCTAATACTTCAGATCTAATAGAGTCCCAGGCCCATATTAGAGTTGATTGTGTCAGTGGATACCCAAGTTGCTAATATCAAAATTTGGTTTGACCTGATTGTGTGTTATTGGATCCCACTCCTCTTTGGTTAGAGAATGAGTTGTCGACAATGATGTCATGTGCTGCAATCAAACCAACCTTTTTGCATTTCAAATCTAAAGTCTAAACCATACATCAACATCTTCATCAGTTTGTGAACTGAACAGACAACTAGTAAACCAGCTTCAAGGAAATGGTATGCGGCTGACCCCATAATCTATAAATCCCTTGAGAATTTGATCAAGCTGTCAAGCAAGCCTTCTTAGAGGTGTGTAGAATGTATGGGTCTATTTTGTGTCAAGCACAGTTTTATCTTTGTATTTTTGTTAGTGATATCGGGATGATTCTTCAATTTAGCCATGCCAAAACTTGGACACAACACCAACTTGGCACTTGGAATGGAACTTTGTGATGCACCAAGCTCAAATCCGCTAAAAAATGTAATACTTATTACTCCTAAACAAGGTATCGTGATAAAGGAATCAAAAAAAAAAAAGAGAAAGGAATCAACCAATAAAGCACTGGCACTAACTTTCAAATTTTAATTTATTTTCTTATTTTGTAGTGGATATCTATAGGCAATCAAATAATTTGTACATGTCCCAAATATCAAGGAATTTTTGTTTGATCAACAATAAAAGGTGAATTTCACTAAAGATCAGTGAAGAGGAAGGGTACAAAGAATGCAAAGAAAAGAAAAGGCACAACTTACCCTGCGAATATCAAAAAAATATCACAACAAATAAACAAAAAGGAGTAAGGATCTTTTACTTAGCCAATGACCAATTCATTATCAACCTAAACTGCCACCTACAAATGATGCTAGAGTCCCCCAAGATGCTGGGAGAAACAGGATCACCAACATCTACAAAGGAAAATAACCCAAAGAAACATCAGAACAAGAAAATAACCTGTCCAACAGCCCAAACAGAACTTTCCTTTCAAGTTTAACTGCCACCTAGACCTGTCCATACCTCTACCTCTACTTCCTCTCCCACCTTTGGCACTAACTTAGAAAATTCATGACAAATCTCCAACAGACTCCAACCTATCTTCTAACAAACCCTCCCCACCAATTTAAACTTTGTAAAATTACTTTCATTCATCCCAGTAACTAGACAAACCTTCTTGGCCAAGCATTTGAAAAATCCTTCCAATTGATTGTCATTTCCAGGGAAAATCTTATTCTTGCTAAGCTTGAGAGTATGGCTAATCACTATCTGTGGAGGATCATGAGGTAACTAAGTTATCCTAACCACCTCCATGACCTTAGGTATAGAAAATGTAAATCCCCTGTTAAAACTAAATAAACTAAAAACAACTCATAGATGGACCAAGAAAAGGACTCAGTTCTCATTACAGACAGATATCCTATTAGTAAAATGGTCATAAGTCACAACTTCTCCATGACGCATGACATTTGCAACATCCTCAACTTATAAAATGGTTCTGTTGAGCAGCATCCGAATTGGGTCAGTGTCTTGCTACTGTGTACTTGGGTAATAGCCCCCATTTTGGAAAACAATGAGTTTGTTGACATTGTTTCCCAAAATAGTAAGAAATTCTGTGTTGACTACACATGTGATTGAATTTCTAATTCTTTTTTGAAAGTTTTGATCCCTGGATTTTTCAAAGTTTCTCTGTATGAAACTGAAATTTGATAAACCCCAGAATTTTGTAAAATTTCTGAAAATTTAAGCCCCCAAAATTCTTAAAATTTCTTTTTCTTAAACTGAAATTTGATGGCCCCTAGAATTTTAGAAAACTTCTGAAAAATTCAAGCCCCCAAATTTTTTTTCAAAATTTGCACCTGAAACTGAATTTTGATTACCCCCCAGAATTTTGGAAATTTTCTGAAAATTTGAGTCCCCAAAATTTTTCAAAACTTTTCTATTTGAAACTAAAATGTAATAGCCCCTCAAATTTTGGAAATTTTCTAGAAATTTGAACCCTCAATAAAAAAAATTCTGAAAATAATTTGATAGAACCCAGAAATTTGGAAAATTTAATCTCCCAACTATAAGAAATATGACCAAATTTGATCTCCCTAGGATTTTGGAAAATTACAGTAAGTGTACATATTTTTCTTTTTACAATGAGAAGCAATATTACCAAAAGTCTAGAAGGGTTCCCTGGCTCAGAATGTTAGATTTGATTATATCATATTTAGGTCTAAGCCTCACGAGAAACTGATTCACCTTTCGTTTCTCAAAGTGCTTCTGAATATACTTAACACATTTAGGAGGATCAGAAGGGTCAATGTGTACTAGTTCATATTCATCCCACAAATCCAAAAATTTGGCATAATATTCCTGTATTTTTGGCTCCTTAACAATATGCAAAGATTCCCTATTCAATTTGGTACTGCCTAGACATATTAGACTGGTAATAAACCTTCTTAGATAAGCATACATGTCAAAAGCCGTTCTCATTCTTCTCATGGGTACAACGATATGAGTTTCAATGGAACTTTCCATTGTCAAGTTTCCATTACTAAAAAACCTTTTGCTTCAGCTTCATCTGGCTTAGTAACTGTACCATTTAGACAACATTCCAGACCCTTTCCCTCAACAAAGAAATCAAAATGGAACTTCCACATACTATAGTTAGTTCCATCGAACTTTGCAGGTATAACATCAACCTTACCAGCTGTTATGGGCCCGGGAATAGGATCTCGTCACGGGTCCACGGGGAAAACCTCCTGTTTTCCCTTGTTCCTCCCTGCTCTTGATGAACCTATCTTGGCGCCCTAATGGTGATTTGTCCAAGAGATCACCTAACTCTCCTTGCTCTCTCTTTCTTGACTGAAATTTTCGATGCCTTTATTGAATAAAATCAGCTCCTTAAATAGGAGATTACAAGAGATAAGAGTTCTACTTTTAGGAAGACTCCTTGCTAATTAGGAAGACTCCCTACTAATCTATCCTACTGAACTGATAAGATAAGACTGAACTGATAAGATAAGATAAGACTCCCTTAATCTATCCTACTGAACTGATAGGATAAGATAAAACTGAACTGATAAGATAAGATAAGACTCCCTTAATCTATACTACTGAACTGATAAGATAAGATAAGACTCCCTAGTAATCCATACTACTGAACTGATAAGATAAGAACATTGAATAGAAAAGACTCCTACTAATCCTTACTACTGAAAGCAGATAAGGCAAGAATACTGAATAAATAAGATAGGATGAGAACACTAAATAGCTGCTGCTGAGAACACTATATTATTGCTGCTGCTGTCGGCGTCCGCATCACCAGCCATCTAGGTTAACAGTATCTAGTCTAGAACAATAATAGAAATGAGTCTGAGTCCGAAAAAGAGAAAAAAGAAGCAGTTCTTCAGATAAAACTGATTAGAAAGTCTTTTAAACACTAGAACAAATATCCAATAACAAAAGAAAATGTGACTCTCGAAGATAATAATCCAAACAAGTAGGTTTTAGGACTGACAGTCCAAATATGGAAGGTTGTAGGCCTGCAAAACTAGAGAAGGGATGAAAACCCTTCTAAATCAAAGTAAATCTTCAAACCAATAAATAGAGCATCTAAAGTAGGTCAGGGTGAAACACACACACAAAAAAAATCACCTGGTGGGCATCTTTTTCAGAGAAAACAAGTTATCTTGGGCTGATCAAAACAGCCCTCAAAATGTCTTGAAAGTGTATTCAAATGGAGGCCTGAATCCTTATGAACCTGAAAAATAATAGTAGAAGCCAGCAAGAGAAGAGAAGAAAGAATGGAGAACAGAAGATAAGAGAAGAGAAGAAGATTGAGAGGCAAAAAGTTCTGCAGGCGGCACCAACAATGTAATTTATATTAGGGTGATAAAAAAATAAGAGGAAAAGTACAAAAGTGCCCTTGTGGCACTAAAGTGAACCGAGGACAGTCTTTTAACAATTCCTTTGAACACATTTTTGAGTCCCAGGTCTTGAATCAACTCAGATGCTTTGATACCATGACAACAAGAGAGTTCAAACAAGAAGGAAGACAAACAGTTTCAGGGTGTCGAATAGAATAGTCGACCCCCACCCCATATATCCTCTATTAGATTAAATGATATGTACAATTACAGAAATACCCATAAAGGGCTAAAAGAGAAAAAGAACAAATACAAAGACTATATATTACAATAATATTGTACAAAAGGTTCTATTATAAAATTATACATCAGTCTTAGAATCTCCACATCCATGTGGCAATAAACAATTATATAAAGAACATAGACTGTTGGAATGTTCAATTTATCTCTTATGTTTGTATTCTGCTGAGTTAGGGTCCGTTTGGACTAGTTGAAGTAGCATTTTTCTTTGTTTTATCTACTGTAACTTAAGTAGGGGCATAAGGGTCCTTTCCCTTTTAATTATGGTCACCCTAATATATTATATAAGCTGGTGCC